GGCGGGCGCGGGGCCTGGCAGGCCGGCGGCGGCTCCTAGCACCGGGCGGCCCGCGGCGCCACTTCCGGGTTGCCCTGCTCCATGTTGATGTCGCGAACGCGGAGGGGCGGGGCCGGGAGGGGCGCGAGGTCAGGGGTCAGCACCTCCCTGGTTGCCATGGCGACCGAGGGTGAGCTGTGCTAGTTGCTCTGTGTTTGGGGCCGGCTATCCCAGCACACTTGATGCCGCAGGTTCGGATACAGAGCCTGCCTCCTGAGCCTAACGTGATGCCTGGTGCTGAGGACCAGGTGCTGGGTGCTGGGTTGTTGGTGCTGGGTGCTGGGTGCTGAGGACCAGGTGCCCGGTACTGAGGACCAGGTGCTGGGTGCTGAGGACCAGGTGCTGGGCGCTGAGTGATGGATCTGAGTACCAGATAGTGGGTACTGGATACTGAATACTCAGTACTCGGTGCTGGATCCCAGCTACTAAGTGCTGAGTACGGGTTATCGTGTTCAGGTTACCAGATACCAGGTTCCAGCTAATGGGTGCCGAATGCTGGGAACCGGATGATGCGTGAATGGGGGCTAACTACTGGATGTTGGGTTCTAGGTGCTGGGTACCGAGTGCCGATTGATGAGTACTGGGTGCTAAATACCAGGTAATGGGTACTAAGTGCTCAGTACCGGGTGCTGGGTACTAGGTACAAAGTGTTGAGTACAGGGTGCTGGATGGTGGGTTCATGCATATGCATGTGAGTTCATGCATACATGCATATCTGGTGCTGAGTGCTGAGAACTGGATACTGAGTACTGGATGACGTGAATTGGGTGCTGGGTGCTAAATGCCAGGTACTGACTGTCAAGTGCTAGGTATCGGGCGCTGATTCCTGAGTGTAAGACCGATCTTGAGAGGAGGCAGTCAAGGCCCCGGCACTTGCTCCAAACTAAGGAGTGTCTCAATCTCAATTTTTTACAAGATTCCTCTTGCTGTACTCTGCATGGCAGGTGCTTGGCACACAGCAGGCGGCCCAAGGGTGGTGGTGGAAGAGCTGGTCTCTTTCCTGAGGGAAAACACTTTTCCCCACACACACCTCTTCCCAGTGCCCTCTTTATGAAAGGAGAAAAGCCTGTTCAGAGACTGGAGATGATATCCTTACACCAATAAAGGGAGTGAGGAAACAGGTAAAACATTACAGAACAAACTAACGGAGTATCAAAATGGTGAGAGGCATTGGACTGGGCTTCTGCCCCCACCAGTTAAGGCGACCTTAAATATTTTTTCTCTTTGGGATTCTCAGTTTCTTAATGGACAAAAAAAAATCGAAGTCTATCACCTTTTAAGAGTGAGTCTCAACTTTATAACCCAGCCTCAAAGACTGTACCCCAAACCCACCAAAATTACACCCAGCCCTCAGTATCTGTGGATTCCTAACTCGTGAATTTGGCCAACCATGGATGAAAATTATATAGAAGGATGTGTGTAGGTAATACCTTAATTTTAGGTTATTTTGTAAAAAAGACTTGAACATCCAGAGATTTGGGGATCCATTGTGATCCTGAAGTCAATCCCCTAGAATATCCAGAGATTACTGTACTCCAATAATATCCAGAAAGGCAAAGAAAGCCACCAGTGCTGGCAGAATGGAGGGGGGTGCTTTTCAAAGAAGAAAATGGAAATGTGCTGATCACGAGCTACACACACACACACACAGAAGCTAATCTAGTTCTAGGACTGGCGAGGCTGGTGATAAATTTATAATCTTGCCCCATGTCCTGACTCTGCCAGAAACTCCACTCCCTTGTCGATAAACCATAGATTAAAATTCCTACTATAGGGTTAAAGGTGTTACAAGATAAAGAACATTGCCTAGCACCATATGTTTCCATTCCTCTTGCTTGGATCCACCATTACCACCTCTGGAAGCTACAATCAAGAAATCCCAAGTTGTATTCTACTGAGCTGCTGTCAGGGAGGGACCTCTTTAAAGTGCTAAAGAGCAAAGATGTCAATTGAAAGACAAAGGTGTACTCGACTCAAGCCATGATATATTCACTTGTGAAAGTTGCACAGTGAATAGAGAAAACCAGAGAATTGATGTCTTTAAATTGTAGCCTTGGAGAAGAGTATTGAATGATACTATGAACTGCCAAAAGAACAAGTAAATCTGTCCTGAAAGTAGTGAAGCCAGGGACTCTCCAGAGGCAAGGATAGTGAGACTTTATCTCCCATACTTTGGGCATGTCCCAAAGGGATCAGTCCAGAGGGACCAGTCCTTGGGAAAGTAGAGAGCCAGCAGAAGAGAGGGAACCCCTCAAAGAGCTGGATTAATGCTGTGATCGCAACGATGGGTTCAGGACAGCAGAGACCCAGTTATACATAGGGTTGCTGTGAGCTGGACTCGAAGGCACTCAACAACAACGGAACACCCTTATTGTGTTTACTTCTATTTGTGTCTGAGGTAGTGTCAAGGAAATTCTAAGCTTAGAACTATGGGATCTTCACAGGCAACCTTACATGCACATTCCAAACCCAAACCAGAGGCATTCAGTCTTCTCCAATTCATAGCACTACCTTCATCTAGTGCAGCTTTCACAGGTAGTTGTCTGTCTCTGTTGGTTCTAGAGGATTCTCGCTCCCGTCACCATCTACCATGTGTGGGCACCTGCCTTCCTTTGTGACTCCCCCCCCCCCCCCCCGTCTCCTGTATCTAGGGGCTTCCCAGCTTAGGGACCTGGGTCCAAAGGACGTACTTTGCTCCTGATAAATCTTTCTTGGTGGTTTCCTCTCTGTTCTTTTTCTCTCTTGTAAGAGGTCACACCCCAGGGAAACTCAAATCAGGGCTATGATGGAATCAAAGGTGTTGAATCCCACCCTAAGTCCTCCTCCAACTACTTGGCTTATCCAATCACAGAGGATCATTATAGAACTTTTCACATTGCATACATGTATTGGGGGCTACGGTTCAATTCACATCAGCCACTCTATAGGACAGGGCAGAGCTGTTCTGTAGAGTTTCCAAGGCTGTAAATATTTTTTAATCTTTTAATTGAGATTGTAATGGAAGGCTGTAAATCTTTACAGAAGCAAATCCTTCTCCTGCAGAGCTACTGATGGGTTCTAACTATGACTTTTTGGTTATCAGCCAAAAGTCTTAATCACACCATCACCAGAGCTCCCAGGCATGTACTCAATTCATTGAAAGAATACATTTTCTCCTTTGTACAGCAATTTTGTAAGTAAAGTAACAAGATAGACATGGCTTTTCTTGATCATAAAGTGTAAGATGCTCATTGCTTTCAGACAGGGTTTTGAACTTCTTCATTCAAGAAGGACTTTATATACTTGATGTTTCACAGCACTCTTATGTTTATTCCACTTGAAACTCCTTAAGGGACGTTAAATGCTAAATACTTTTGGAGAAGGTAGATATGAGCATTTAATGTACTGTGTCAAAAGAACAATGGTAAAAGTAGAGAGGCTTACACCAAAAAGCAGTTCTCACTCAGGACAACCCTCCACCAAGTTCCCAAGGGTATAATTCTTCATTGGAGGAGACTACCTGGCTTTTTTCACAGTGGCTGGTCCATTCAAACCGCTGACTTTGGAGGCTAACAGTCCAGTATATTATGCACTATGTCATCAGGAAATTAAAAGGTGCATTGCCATGGGAAAGTCTGCTGTTAGGGACCTCTCCAAAGTATTGAAGAGCAATGGTGTCTCTTTGGAGACTAAGGTGCACCTGATACAAGCCATGGTCTTTGCTATCATTTGTTATGCATCAGAAAGTTGGACAATGACTACGGAGAATTGATGCCTTTGAGCTGTGGTGCTGGAGAAGATTATTGAGGGTACCATGGACTGCTAGGAAAACAAACAGATTCATCCTGGAAAGGGTTAAACTGGGCTGCTCCTTGGAGGCAAGGATTCTGAGGCTCCGTCTGACATACTTTGGACATGTTGTAAGGAGAGACAGGTCCTTGGAGAGGGACATCATGCTTGGTAGGGTGAAGGGACAGCACAGAAGGGGAAGGCCCCCTATGAGATGGATTGATTGAATGGTTGGGGTAATCGGGATGGGTGTGTCGGAGACTGTGCGATTGTCACAAGACAGAGCAGAGTTTAGGGTTGTTGTACATAGGGTCGCTATGAATCGCAAGTGACTCGACGGTACATAACAACGGCAACAACAACAATGTCATTAGGGCTTCTTTGAAAAGTCTTAAAGGGGGTTAATCTTATGCAGTCATTTAATCTTCTTGAGTGAAAATACTCTCCTGACTCTGAAGGATAACATTACAAACCTCAAAAATACCACACACATTTTAGTGCATTCTTTCAGGAGTCCATTAATGCTTACTAGTAGGGAGCTCTGGTGGCCTAGTGATAAGGAGCTGTGCTGCCAACTCAAGGGCACACGGTTCAAATCCACCAGCTGCTCCACAGGAGAAAAATGGACAATCAAATCTCATGACATTTACTGCTTTAAAAACCGGCTGAATTGTCAGCTATGGGTCAGTTCTGACTCGACGGTTCACAGCACGTGTCTATAGTTGTTATTGCTGTTAGGTGTCGTCAAGTTGACTCTGACTCATAGTGACAAGATGAATGGGACGTCACCCTGCCTCGTGCCATCCGTGTCTGCAGACATCCCTCTGTTGATGGTACATTTCAGTGTTTTGTGACATTTACCTCTAGAGCTGGTGTGAGTTCTGTATAACTTAGGCAGTCTTAGAAGTAACATGGGAGCTTCAGGGAGCCTGACTACAGATACATATTAAACTATCCTGAGCCAGACACCACGTAGGAACCCTGGTGGTGCTTTGGATGAAAACATTCGAACCAGAAGGTTGGTGATTTCCAAAGGTTGGTGGTTCGACCTCCCTAGCCATTCCACAGACGACAAGGCAGTAAGCTTCCGTAAAGATTTACAGCCTCGGAAACCCCACGGGGCAGTTGTACACTGTCCTACAAGGTTCTTATGCATGGAAAGTAAAGTGTGGGCTTGGAATTTGAATTTTTAAATTACCATGTTGGATGAAAAGAGCTGGACTTTTGAGTCATCCTGGTGAAAATTTACTACTCAACATTAAAAAAAAGATGTTGGATTTTCCATCTCTGGGAGATAGTATATGAAAAGGCCATGTGTGGAGAACAGAACACGATCCGAGTGCTGCGGATACAGCATCTGGATCCCAGAGTGGGCAGCTGTCAACTTGAAAGAAAAATAGTCATAAGGATTTTTAAGGAGTGCACTGGAGCAGCCAATGGTGGAATTTCTTCAGCAAGGTCTCCAGGGAGAAATAATTTGACACCTGAAACTTACAAAAACAAAACAAACATCCTGAAACCAGCCCTAATTAAGTTTAGAAGTTTTACAAACTGCATTTTTAAGTCTTCACGTCTCTATTAAAGGTTATAATCAAACAATAAGCAATTAATTAAAATAGTGAATGTGTGTTTCTAAAGAGCTTAAAATGTTTGGTAAGCTTTATTAATGATTATAAACTTGTTTACAAGTATCATTTCACTCATCTCTGAAATATAGCCATCTCTAGGGTGGAAATTGGCAGTCGTAGCTCGCAGCAACGCAATAACACACTCCAACACAATTCAGAGAATCCTCTGAAGGCAAAAGCTGAACTGCTAGGATTACTAACCTCTCTTCCTGCTGCACCCATGTGTCTTTTGAGTTCTCCAGCACCTAGCTGGAGCCAAAATTGTTTCGTTTTACTATCTGGCACGATCCAAAGTTGTGACTTCATGTTTGCAAGTCAGAATAGGAAAACGTCCTATTTTTTGCTTCTTGGGGAACAAACAAGCAAAATGGGCTAAGTAGAGCCTGGAATTACTTTGTAAAAGTGAAACGGTTTCCTGCAAGAGCTTTGTTTTGTTTTCTCATTGCTTTGTTATGATTGCTTATATTAAGACAATGAAAAGAAACGTCACTTGGGTCAAATCTATGGTTTGGCTCTGAATAAAAAAGAATGTCAATTACATAAGGCTCCAAAATCAAAGTGGTTCTGCCCAAATGCTTATTGTCTTGAAATTTGAGATGTTCTTTTCAATAATTTTAATATCTACATGGAAAGTAATTTATTAAAGGGATGGATTGGAAGTATGAACAACATACCAGAATTGAAGAGATTAATTATTATTATCATTATTATTATTATTATCCTACAACTAATGAAATAGCCAGGACATTTGGTGCAATTCCAAAGTTAAGGGTGTGTGAAAAAATTGTATTTATTTATATATATGTATATAGGTGTGTGTGTGTGTGTGTGTGTGTGTATATACGTTGTTGTTGTTGTTAAGTGCCGTCGAGTCGCAGGCAACTCATAGCAACCCTATGAAGGAGAGTCCTCGACACTTGGGTGCCTTTCATCCTCTCTCCGGGTTCATAGGGTTTTCGGAGGCAAGCTATTATAGAAGTGGATGCCACTCCTCCTTCCAAGTGTGTGTGTGTGTATATATATATATATATGTGTGTGTGTGTATGTATAAGTGTATATATATGTATGTATACGTGTGTATATATATGTATGCATAAGTGTGTGTGTAT